CGCACATGTATCTTGAAAAAAAAAAAACGAACACAATGTCCCTAATGTCTTGTTCAGTGTTCTTGGAAGTGTCCATCAAGATTGATCTTTATAGAGACCTAATTAAACTTAACTATTAAGCAAATAACCAATATTTGAACAACCCATCAACAGGTGTTTCTTGTACATGTGTGCAGAACCTAAAGAGTACTACTTTCACCATAATATTCAGTTTTTACCATATCATGAAATTATTGAGGGTTGTACCTGAGAGACACATGATAGTATGTGTGACAAGCTGGCGGTACCGCTTCTGGCTGCGGCCAACATCTGTCTCGGGTATGCTCAAGTGAGGGTGCTCGGCAGCATTTACAATTCTGGAGAACATGTCATTCAGATCTTTATCCTTCACGCTCACGGGAATAGGTGCATCAATACCCATGTTCAGACAAATCTAGGACACGAATAAGTAGAAAAATTTAAGCAGGTCAAATTCATTCTTTGCACATTCCATCATGATTTTTATATTTTTAATAAATACAATAAAAGTGGAGAAAGTGAGGAATCGACTAGACCTTTGCGGAGTCTATGTTCACTTTTGCATTAGAGTCGAGATCGTTCTTAGCTGCAATGAGGAGACAAGGCATCCCAAAACCACTTTCTTCCCCTTGCCTTGCAACGAGCGAGAGCAATTCTGTTGCCCCTTTAAAAGAGTACTCGTTTGAGCTGCCAAGAACATAAATAAATAAAAATAAGAAAATTTCAGTCACTATATCAAATTCGTGTTTTCCCACTGGAGAAGGAAAGAATATAAACAAAACTAAAAGAGAAGTGCAGAATACAGATAATAGTACAAGTGTTGCAATGCACTCATACCTGTCATACACGAAAACAGCTACATCACAAGCAGCCAGATATTCCTTATTGGATAAGAGTCTCTTAGCTCCATCTTCTGGAATCTCCCTAAGTATAAGAGTTTTCTTGTTACCCTGCAATTTGGAATATTGGCAGCAGTCAAAGAGTGATACCATTCACAATTTAATTGTTCTACATGCTAGAAATATCTCGAGCCGAGTCAAGCACTAGCCTTATCGATCAAAATTGATTTATTTTTTATACCTGCTCGAGCTCAGCTCGAAATCGATTGAAATCAAAATGCTCGACAGATTGCTCAAGCTCGGCTCGAGTTCGACTTGAATTTCAAGTAAAATTAGCATTAAGCACATAAATAAAATATTGTAATATTTATGTAAGGGGTATTTCAGTAATGCAATATACATCCCAAGCGGCTCAAGCCGCTCGACCTTCCAAAACCTATGCTCGATATCGACTCGATAACAAGCTCATGCCGCTCGAGCCGAGCTTTGACTCGAGCGGCTCGCGAGCCACTCGGTTTGTTTGCAGCCTTGCGGTTACTAACCGAATGTTGATCAATGACATTCACAGCATATTGTTCATCAGCTGTCGGAGTATAGTTCTCAGAGAAAGGCCTGTAATTAGTAAAAACAACAATAAGGTTGTTAATTATATCTGCAGTGAGTGCAGGCAATAAAAACGGCTCATATAGTAACAACACAACTTATCCCCACACCTTCCCAGCATCGATGTTAACAGTGCAGACTTCCCAGCTTTGCTAGGTCCGAAAACATAGCACTGGAAAACATTTCTTTCAGTTTGTTGCTTCTTTTTATCTAACGATCTTCTCCTAGTGATGTGTAGCGCTGATGATGCGTTGCAATTGTGGCCAACATATATTAAGTTTGCTACACTCTGAGCAGGATCCAGAGATGTCATAAGAGCCCACTGCAATGTAATAATATCCAAATTAGAGGGATGCCACAGAATATTGGTTGATTTATGTTTTTCACTACAGGGGCACGAGAGAGGAGAAAAACAGCAAGGAATTAAGAACTGAAGTTGCACATCAAATTGGGTATTTTTCAACAGTTCTACAGTAAAAATTCAGTTTAAGTAACTCCAAGCAAGAATATTTACTGTCGTTAAATTGAATTCATGCATCAGATAAATACTGCTTTGGTAGTCAACATTATTAGTAAAATGTGGAAAACTTTGTAGAATCTGATGATAATGGGAAACTGTCTAGTCTTCTATAATGGGGAATGGTTGTCATACAGATTATGTGAACAAGATATAGCATATTTTCCAGACAAGCAACACAGCATACCCACCTCTGATAGAAATCCTGAAAGAGATAATCCATGCAATGGAGTTCTCTCGACCGCGTCCTTATAAGGAGCTTCGTCCCAGGGACTATTTTACATCATGAGAACAAAGTTAAATTAAAAATTTGCAAATACAAGGGAAAGGATATCACTTACTTGTGCAACATACACGATTTTTAAAGAATTTTTTCGTAAAATGATATTGATCATCTGATGACTAACAACATAAACACGATAGCATTCTATGCAAACAGATTTTACCTCACTGGTGCAGTTGAAAATAGATCTTCAAGCTCAGTCTCGCTAAGAACTCCGTCCTGTCAAAGTACAAAAGACATTGAGCCAAAAGTACAACAGTGAAGTACTGAAAAATGTTGCAGCAGTGTCAACCAAAAAGAATACACCACTAATTTGGCACTAGAAAAAAGTTCAATGTCTTTCCACAAAAGTTCTATGGAGCCAGCAAATGACTTCTTTATGAAGCCATCCATGAATTGATGCATTGACACTGGTCCAAACATATTTATTGTTAGGACACATGTCATTAATAATTGTGCACAGCTCCATAAGCCGAAACATCATATGCCTTCGTAGAAAATTGTGTCCTTCCATCAGAATAACAATTACGTCTATAGTGCATCTTACGAAAATGGTGCTGAAGTGTTTTGTTGAACACTCACAAGCGTCACAGTGGACGTAATAGCCAATGGCTCTCAGATGTGTTGGAATATCACTTGTTAGTTGTCTTTCCCCAGAATCTATAACTCTAACATGGTATCAGAGCGGACGTGATTTGAGACTTGCGATGATTTAATCTACTCGACCTGCTCTAGTTTGGGCGAAGGATTCACAAGTGAGGGGGTGTGTTGGAATATTACTTGTTAGTTGTTCACATTGATTCTACATTGTAAACGGGCCTAGTTTATAAGCCTAGTGGACTACTCTCCATCACCAATTGGTTTTGAGATGGAGCCTCACTAAGGAACACCTTAACACACCATCTTACGGTGTGCTTCACCTCTATGGAACCGCAACCTCTTCCTCCGAATCTATAACTCTAACAAGATGCAGGGCGTTTTAATGCTTAGAAATACTACTATTTGGTTAATGTAACTATTTACCCATCCTAGATATTACTAAGTACGTTGTATTATAGAAACAGAAAGAGGTCAAGCTTTTTGCATTGGACATGTGTCTGCTTATTGCTTATAGTTAAAGGTTTTCATACGGTTGGCATAGCCTACTTCACATCACAAGCTAATTGTTCAGGCAAAATATTCTTTCTCCATTTTATTTTCCAACCATCTTGATGTTGTTCCTTGAAATAGAGTGAATTTCCGAAGATTTCCAGTCAGCTCTCCTGGCACACACACGCTAAGCTTTGAAATAGATTACAATTAATAATAAAACATTGACATACTTTATCATCATCGAACGTGCTGAAGATTCCTTTTAGAAACTCTATAGCTTCACTTGTCAATTCAATACTCTGCAAAGGACAAGCATGTGGAGATAGAAGTTGTAAGAGAAAGAGAAGTTATTTGTTCATTAATATATATAATAAAATTACTCAATGCTGTGGCCCCACATATCGATAATTGTATTGCATAATAAGTGCCATCAAAATTAATTTCAATAAGTGGCGTTATTGACCACCTCAAAACTATTGATTATGAGGTTAAGAACTCTCTAGTGCTAAAAGGGAAATTCTCTACAAATAATCTGAGGCCATCAGTGGAAGATCGTGATTATATATTAATTAAATTGAACAGTTGAAACCTAATCACAAACAGTTGTTGAGCAGAGCAACTAAAACAATAAGTTGTACGCAATATCAGGCATGATGGCTTGGAAGTTAAACCTACAACTGTTTAAAATAATAACAACAATTTCGACCTATATTGAACCTTTCAGTTTGTTGCAGAAATTTATTAAAGAGGTACAATATAACAACTTAAAACATGTTTTGCTACAAGAATCACCTGATCTGGAGCCTTTTTGTTGACAACTGATAAGTAATCATCCCTGAGTTTTAGCTCGTCATTGTACCCAAATTTTCTCAAAACAGCCCATGTGGTTTCTATTCGGCCCTTCTCTATAAAAAGAGCATGAAGAAACAGGAAACCTGTTAGGGTAAGGCCACGTTCATTAACTCCTTCAGGCAACTTCTCTTGAACCACAGTTTTAACACCCCTTATTTCAGCAGGTTGCAGAGGAGCACTGAAACACATAACCTGCTCATCAGAAATGAAAGTTAGAGGGTAGAAGTTCAACAAAACCAAAAACAATAATGAGGAACGGAGAGAGAGAGAAGCTGAAGCATAGCAAGAAAGAAAAAAAAAGTCAGAGTGAACTGCATTTAACCACAAAGAGAAAAATGGGATATACATGAAGAATGGAAAGGAAGGAAGATATCTCCTAGTTTTTTTTTATATTTCAATAAATAGAAAATAAGATAAAGAAACCGGAGAGATGAAAAAATGCAAATACAACCTGAAATGCGTTGAGCTCTTCATCATTAAGAGCACAATCCATATCATGATCACAAAGGATAAATATCCTCTTCAGTGCTCTCATACATTGAGGTTTTAAAGCTTGGGTTTCCTGATCAAACAATGGGGCTGTTGGGTGAAGGACTGCCTTTTGTGCGAAGTAGAAAACTTCTTGAATCTATAAAAATCAGAAATACATGTGGTTATCTTCAAATTATTGATATTGTTGAACGATAAAGAAAGAGTACAGCAGCATCAGCACAACACAATCATTATCTCAAACCTGAAGCAAGTTAGCTGCCGAACATTCAATGCAAGTCTCAATCTCTCTAAACTGATGCATGAGCGGCCCCATTTCAACACTCAAGTTGAATTCCTCATTTCTCCGATCAAGCCTGCAACCAGCCACGATCACTGGTGCCTTGATCTAAGTATTGACAATTCACAAGCCATCTTCAAGTTACATACAATAATAACAAACAACAAAAATGTGATAATAAATCAATTTTCTCGACATAA